TTGTAGTTTTCATTTCAGTTATTGTATTGTTCATCTCTGTTTGTTTGTTCTTTAATTCTTCTAGATCTTTGTTAATCATTTCTTGCACCTTCTCAATCTTTGCCTCCATTCTTTTTCTGAGGTCCTGGATTATCTTCACTATCATTATTCTGAATTCTTTTTCTGGAAGTTTGCCTATCTCCACTTCATTTAGTTGTTTTTCTGGGGTTTTATCTTGTTCCTTCATCTGGTACGTAGCCCTCTGCCTTTTCATCTTGTCTATCTTTCTGTGAATGTAGTTTTTGTTCCACAGGCTGCAGGATTGTAGTTCTTCTTGCTTCTGCTCTCTGCCCTCACTCTGGGTCTTTAACTATTTGCTGGGCTTTTTTCAGAGGCAGCAGTGTAGAAAGACACCACAGGGTCTGCTTCTAGGCCTTCTGCTTCTGCTCCAAGTCCTCTTCAGTGGTGCCTATCTCTGTGATTTTCTTCCATAGCAGTTGATAGTTGAATCAATTTTAAAACTTTATGTGTCTACAGTTGCTTTCATTGTGACCCTTCTTCATAATGTTTTTATCTTCTATCAATACATTTTTATACAGTTCAATATTTCTACCGTTTAGTTCTTTTCTAAAACAACTAGAATGAATACACACATACATACACACACACACTCTTAGAATTTTTAAAAATTTAATATATTTCTTATATTTAAGCTTTTGATTATAAGGACTTTAATTTTGTATGTGTTTGGAAATCCAGCTTTCATTTTCTTGTAATTGTTCCAGATCAAAATGTATTATTTTATTCTATTCAATTTCTGGCTCAAACATTCTGATACTTAAATTATAACCTGAGCTACTTTTATAATTTAAGGCTTTCAAATATTTCATTTTAGTATTGCTTTAGGGTTTCTCTAATCTTTCACTCCCTGCTCCTAGCACCCCACATATAGACTCTTTCCAATGTCCTGCTGCTAAACTTTTACCTCCACCACAAAGTTCTGCACATTTTTCTCTACTGAGGAAGAGAGAACACTCCCACAATGTGTCAGACACTGTGCTAAGAAAGATGAGGAAGAAATGATATGTAAGAGCTAGAATGATAAGAGAAAGTGAAAAAGAAAGAAGTACAGAGGTCAACTTAAATGCCTAACAATTCCTGGGAACCTTCCACCTATTCTCCAGTGCTCTTTGATTGCCATTCAGATAATTTAATGACTGGCCAACAAGCAAAGTCTTTTGTATTATAAACTCTTCTAGGATACCTTATTCTTAGGGTGTCTTCCTCTGAAATTGTGAAATACAAATAATGTTAAACACTCCCCCTCTCTTCCTTCTTCCTTTCCTCCCTCCCTCCCATTCTTCCACAGAAGGAGGTAAACTGCTTTTCTGCCTTTCTTATGGGCAGAAAACAATAACACACTGGAGTCATGTTAGAACAACCACCAAGCTTTCTTACCTCCTGTTGCAAAAATAATGTAAAGTGCAAAATCCTGGGCACTATTTTCAATCTGTCAATGGAAAAGAAAGAACAGACATGAATTCTTTGTTGTCAATGTTTTCTAAGCCAACCAGACCCAAATTATATATGTTTCTTCACTTTCATTTTTCACTTTCAGATATAAAACCTTTTCTGCTCCCTGGGGATAATGTAATTTCTCAGGCACAGTCCATTTGTATTATAAATGGACCCATGCAGTTCAAACCTGTTTTGTTCAAGGGCCAACCATACATAGGAAAGAATTCTTTGGAACTGAACATTTAATTTCAGAAAAATCCATTTATGTGCCTACAGTTAAATTATATACAAGATATTTATAGCTCAGTTCACTGATAAAGATTACCTTAAATTTTTGGAGAATTTGCTTTATTACTTCTTCAGTTCTCATATTACTGTTTATTCTGACCTTCGTTTCTGATCCAAAGGCTGGAGTGAAAATTGATGTCTAGAAGAGAAAAAAAAAGATTGATATAATTTTAAGGACTTAATGTGACAAACTAACGAGAGTCAACATTTTGAACCTGGACTTCCTTTGGACAAAAAATCCAAGATCATCAGTTTAAAAATTTGCTTTCTTATTTTTACTTTCTTTGTTGTTGTTGAATACTGTACTATGTATGCCTTTAAGCAGCTTTATATTTTTTCTAGAGTAAGTTAGGTAAAACATTATTTGAGAATGTTCAAAACAGTTTCACTAGATGGTGACACGATTCTTCAGTGTAGTTTAAGATTTCAAAATTCCCTTCTGGTTGGGAATAATTGTTCTAAATTGTTTTAATTTGAGCTGTATAAAATCACTCCTTTTTGGTTGGTCAGAAATGGTCCAGTGTTGGCAATTTCATATGGTTCAGCCTATATCTCAACTGAGGATTGAGGTAAAAGTGCTGCTAATTGAATATCTAGAACAATATTTCCTGCAAATTGCTCTAATCAAGAGTCTGCCTTTTAGATAATACCTGGTAAAAGATTTCTATGGTCAGATAAGTCTGACACATCTCTCTTGGGGATTAGTAATGCACCATAAAAAAACATAAGAAACATATAACCATAAAATTTTTTCTCATTATTTGATCATTATTCCTATTTTAAAATAAATAGAATCCTGAGAGAGAAGAAAAAATTAAATGGAAAATTCCAGAAATAAACAATTCATACATTTTAAATTGTGTGCCATTCTGAGTAGCATGATAAAATCTTGCACCATCCTACTCCATCTGGTCCAAGATCCCCAACCATTGACAATGTCTGCTCCTGACAGCCAACTATTGATGTCATCATGGCTTGATGGTCCAGGATCATCTGAAGCAGATGATCCCCCTTCTGACATATTGTCAGAAGGTCAAGAGTAGCCTAATGCTGCATCACCATGCCTCCTTATTCACCTCACTTCATCTCATCACACCACAGGTATTTTATCATCTCACACCCTTACAAAGGTGAATACAGTGCAATAAGATATTTTGAGAGAGATGGAAGGAGAGAGAGACCACATTCACATAACATTTTTTACAGTATATTTTTATAAATATTCTACCTTATTATTAGATATTGCTGTTAACATCTTATTTTGCCTAATTTATACATTAAGCTTTATCATAGGTATGTATGTATAGGAAAAAACATAGTATATATAGAATTCAGTACTATCCTTAGTTTCAGGTATCCACTGGGAGTCTTGGAATGCATTCCCTTGGGACTACTGCATCACAGTCTCAGCCTCTAATACTGGAGGCATTATCAAGAGGTTTCATGATATAAAAACATATCTTATGACTATATCAACTTAAATTCCTAGATGCCCATCATTGCATACGCATTGATAGAGTGCTTTGGGTTTCAGGGTTTTGTTTTCTGCTAGTTATTATACTGCAGTGAATGATATTTGTGTGAAATATCTTTAGTTCCACTTGATCTCTTTCAATCAATATCAATAAAGCTAACTGTAAACGGAGTTCTTCCTTCGTGCAGATACTTATGCTAAGTACTGAACTCACCTCATTCCACTTAATCCCATCAACAGCCTTGTAAAGAAGGAAGGATGAAGGAATGAAGGCTAAGAGGTTGAGTACTTTTTTATTTGCTCAGCAAGAATTTGCAATCAGGTCATCAGGCTGCAATGCCCAAGCATTCACCTATGATGCTGTGCTGCCCACTTTAGTGCCCATTTCATTCTTAGCTCCGCATATCCCATCTGGAAGCTGCTCATTTGGAATAATGTGGCTTTCACAGCCTACTTTAACAGAAATCACCTCACAAGTGCTGATGACATACAGCATAATTCTGAGGAGAAGAAGAAACCAGGACAATTGGTAGTTGCATATCTGTGGGGGACTGTCAGTGTTACTTTTTGGCCAGGAGGAAGTTCTTGAGCCAGAAAAATGTCTAATTTGAACAGAGAATTCACAAGGGAGATTTCTCCATACCAGTCTCCAAAGGAACGTATGGATACTCTCCCAAGGGATGAAAAAGAAGGAAAAAAGGTAGAAAGCCCTAAAGAAAAAAGCTATGATGAATGAGTCAATATTTTGTACGAAAGGGCTTAGAGTGGTGCCTTACACAGAGTGAGTGCTTTTTAAGTATTTATTGAATGAATGGATGAATGATCCCTAGTATATGACATGAAAAATTTGAGTTCTACAAAAACATGATGTATTTCCTACCTTCGACCAAGTTAAATGTCTTATAAATACTATAGAAAGGCACATATATATTTAACACATATTAAGTGAAAAAAATCAAAATGCAAATAGTATAAACTACAATTGCACTTGTGGGTGATATGGGTTTATGTATATGAGTTTATGTATAAGACCTGGAAAATTTAATTGATCAGAATAAACAAGCCTACAGCTGATTTTTTCCTTTTATTTAAATATTAATGTTTGAATGTACTTTGAACCAATCTCTTTTGTAGCACTTACATATTTTAATACCATTTGTGGATGTATTGGTTTCTTTGCCCAAGCCCTGAGCTCCATGCTGGCAAAGGCATCAATTGAGTCATCTTTATATTTCCAGTGTGTATCACAGGGCCTGCCACTTAGGGTTCACTGATCATGTTGGTTAAGAACTTGGGTTCTGGCATCAGACAGAAGCTGGGTTCGGGTTCAGAGTTGCTACTTAAAAGCAGTGTGACCGGTGATGGATTGTGTAACCTCTGTGAACCTCAGTTAACTCATACGTAAAGTAGGGAACATAATGGTATCTGCTTCATAGGATTGTTTTAGTGATTAATGAGATAATCCATCAAAACAGTTTAATGCTTAACACATAGAGAGTACCCAGTAATAATAGTAGTAGTATATCTAAAGGCATTATTATTATTTTTAATTATAAATTGAATTGAGGGCTTCCCTGGTGGCGCAGTGGTTGAGGGTCCGCCTGCCGTTGCAGGGGACACGGGTTCGTGCCCCAGTCCGGGAAGATCCCACATGCCGCGGAGTGGCTGGGCCCGTGAGCCATGGCCGCTGAGCCTGCGCGTCCGGAGCCTGTGCTCCGCAACGGGAGAGGCCACAACAGTGAGAGGCCCGCGTACCACACACATACACAAAAATTGAATTGAGTGATATTGTTAGCACAATAGACAACATTCTTTTAAATGACATTAATGAAACTGGAACTCACTTCATGGTTATAAAAGTGTCCGTTAATAGAGGCCCTATGCTTCTGTCTGTCCTTTCTGTCCATCGTCGGAGGCTTCATCCTTTTTCTCACCAGGGTTGCTTCACTCATGGTTCTATAGAGCAATGGGGATTCAGGTTCTTCATCTGCATGAAGCTTCAGAGTGCTACTGTGATAAGATAAATAATCTGGGGAGAATAAAGATTATAAGCCCATATAATTTAGCTGCTCACCTCTTTGCATCGTGGGTGGATTTGATTACATACTTAGTAATTATATAGCTATGCAATGGACTATAATGCTTTTAAACAGAAAATAGCAATGATCTTCTTTAAGAATAGGGTCATCTGGTGACACTTGTTTTCCATTTTACCTTGGAATTTTAATTATACTGTAATTAGAGTATAAGTATGTGATACTTCATCTTTCTCTAGCACTGTTGCTTAAATAAAAATAGATTTTTATTGTATCTTTGGTGCCAAGAGATTGGAATTCCCTTGTGTTTAGATGAGTGTTGTCAAAGGGCTAATTATAAGGACCCTTATATAAAAGATGCCAAAAGGCCATAAGACAAAAATAAGGGAATCCGGGAAGGAGCATCATGTTTGTTACAGAATCTGAGTTGTTATAGAGACAGCAGAGAGGACTGAACTGAGAATGCTTTGAAAAAAATTAAGCTAAACATTGGAAGTTGTTGGTAGATTCATGAAGATAATGCCAGCACCATACCCTTGTTCAGTCTGAAGTCAGTTTGGTAATACCACCATCCCGGGAATGTGAACCCCACCCCAGCCTCAGTCATCATCTTCTCTTTGGGTCTCTACATATTACACGAAAATGAAATCCATGTAAAATGTAAGATATCATGCCCGAGTCTCAGTAAATGACAGATACTAATATTATTACTAACACATCATCATTATTATGATTACTGTTGTCACATGTCATAGGGGCTGGCATTTTCCATTCGTTTGTCAAATTTGATATGAACTCACTTGATGTTCAAGTAGATTTCTCTTTTTTAAATAAATGCTTGAAACAACCCTATCAGATATAGTGAATGCAGTATATCTGCCTCTGAGAAGCAATGTTATATAAATATCTATTAACCGAAATGTTCAACTTCTCAAAAGATGTAAAATTCAATCTGAAGGGCTTGGTCTAACATAGAAATCTTCTGAGTATAATAAATGATCCTAATCCTTGGGGAAAATATAAAACAATTTTATGTACACAAACTTTACTCAAACCATCAGTTCTCCCTAATCTAGTAAATCTAAGGGACCTCATGTAATTAAAAAAATAATGTTTTTATATAGCAAAGTAAGGTTCTTAAACATCATATGAGCACTGTAGTGACTTAAGTTAGTATGTTTCTAAAATATATTTTTTTAATATAAAATAAGGGTTTAATAAGTAATGGTAGGGCTTCCCTGGTGGCGCAGTGGTTGGGAGTCCGCCTGCCGATGCAGGGGACACGGGTTCGTGCCCCGGTCCGGGAGGATGCCACATGCCGTGGAGCGGCTGGGCCCGTGAGCCATGGCTGCTGAGCCTGCGCGTCCAGAGCCTATGCTCCGCAATGGGAGAAGCCACAACGGTGAGAGGCCCGCGTACCCCAAAAAAAAAAAAAAAAAAAAAGTAACGGTATATAAAATGTTGAATTTCAGAAGAACATTTAGGATTCATGCTTTGTATTAGTTTAAAAAAGTCTCCTCATTAATAAGATTTTGATACTGACCTTCCTGGGAATCTGTTGCTCCAGACACTGGAATCTGAGTCCTGTCCAAATCACTAATACGGTAAAGATCATCAAATTCTCCCCAGCGTGTCATTCCCCTGAAAAGTAATAAATCTTGTAAGTGATATTATTCTATTCATAAAAAGGCGTAGGATGGTTTTCAGATGTACAGTATTAATATAATGCTGTGGGCCTCTGTAGGTAGACACGTCATCCTAAGTTATAACAATTTTTTGTATTATTAAAATTATATTTATACCAGAGTAGTCAGCTTGCGTTTTAAATAATTCTTGTACTGATTTTAAGCATGTTTTGACACAATACTTCAGTTACACACTGAACCACAAGATTATATAGATTCTGTAAAACATATGTGCCAATGGAATTAGTAGAAACCAATATAATCCATTTTTTAAACATCTTTATTGGGGTATAATTGCTTTACAATGGTGTGTTAGTTTCTGCTTTATAACAAAGTGAATCAGCTATACATATACAATATCTCCTCCCTCTTGCAACTCCCTCTCACCCTCCTTATCTCACCCCTCTAGGTGGTCACAAAGCACCGAGCTGACCTCCCTGTGCTATGCAGCTGCTTCTCACTAGCTATTTATTTTACATTTGGTAATGTATATATGTCCATGCCACTCTCACTTCGTCCCAGCTTACCCTTCCTCCTCCCCTTGTCCTCAAGTCCATTCTCTACGTCTGTGTCTTTATTCCTGTCCTGCCCCTAGGTTCTTCAGAACCCCTCCCTGACCTTTTTTTAAGATTCCATATATATGTGTTAGCATACAGTATTTGTTTTTCTCTTTCTGACTTACCTCACTCTGTATGACAAACTCTAGGTCCATCCACCTCTCTACAGATAACTCAATTTCGTTTCTTTTTATGGCTGAGTAATATTCCATTGTATATATGTGTCACATCTTTATCCATTCATCTGTCGATGGACACATATGTTCACCTTATTTTTGATAAGAGAGGCAAGAATATACAATGGAGAAAAGACAGCCTTTTCAATAAGTGGTGCTGGGAAAACTGGACAGCTACATGTAAAAGAAAGAAATTAGCACACTCCCTAACACCATACAGAATCCATTCTTATACAGATATCTCACAATGCTTTTAGGAGAGTTTAGATACAAAGTGTTTATTCTGCCAACTTGCATTAAGTTCCTGTTGTATTCAAAGCATTTTTAGGTAAAGTGACTCCAATATAATGATATAAAGCCTATCTTTAAGACCCTTGAGCACTATAAAGAATGCGATTTATAAAGGAGGAAAGTGTATGAGAAACTTCTTTTCTGACAATCATGATTTATATAGGGTACTAACAATTTTCAATGCATTCTAATGCCCAGAATACATAAAACTGGGCAACTGCTTATTTTTACCAGTTGGGCCAACACTCATTGTTATTTTCTTTCTGGCTTTAGATAAGCTACTTATCTTCTCTGTGCATTAGTGTTCTCACCTATGAAATGGGGATGATTATAGTATGAGGTAGGATAAGGTTATTGAGAAGATTAAATGAGTTAATTTGTGTAAAATCCTTGAAAAAGTGCCCAACACAGAGTAAGCACTCAATATGTGTTAAAAACTATTGTGATCGTCCTCATCTTCATTGTTATCCTCATCATAATCCCCAGCCATTTCATGATGGGTCAGGAGCCATTAGGGATCCAAGGTATTCCTAGATATCTCTAGGTTAATAGACACTATCGTAGCTGGGACCCGTCTTAGTCCTACTAAGAGTCTCTTCCATAATGTCTGTTTTCCTTATGACCAAAAAATATTCACCCATAGGGAATCTGTGGCATTAATTCTTCCCAAATGTCACTGGTGGCAATAGCAACAAAAAATGCTTATTCATACTAGTGGTGGCAAATATGAATAAACATGGTCCTTTTCTTCCTTGATCTCTGAATTCCTTTGATGTCTTTTTACAACTTCTATATCATTTGAGCCTCATAATAAAAGCCTTATGACATAGATAAGATAATCCTAATATATTTGTTTATTAATTTTCTAGTAAGCTGTACTATACAGAATATAGCCAGTCAAAATAAATGTCTTAAAAGTCCAAGAACTTTAGGCAATAACTTTAACTCAAAGGAGAACTGTTTTGGTCCTGACTCAGACTCTAGTTATTCTTCCTTTTTTATTTTCAATTGAAGTATAGTTAATTTACAATGTTTTAGGTGTATAGCAAAGTGATTAAGATATATATATATATATATATATATATATATATGTATATATTTCCTTTTTTGGATTCTTTTCCATTATAGGTTATTACAAGATATTGAATATAGTTCTTGTGCTATACAGGAGGTCCTTGTTGTTTACCTATTTTATATATAGTAGTGTGTATCTGTTAATCCCAAACTCCTAATTTATCCCTCCCCCACTTTTCCCCTTTGGTAACCATAAGTTTGTTTTCTGTGTCTGTGAGTCTATTTCTGTTTTGTAAATAAGTTCATTTGTATCATTTGTTTTAGATTCCACATATAAGTGATATTTGTGGTATTTATTTTTGTCTGACTTACTTCACTCAGTATGATGTTCTCCAGGTCCATCCATCTTGCTGCAAATGGAATTATTTAATTCTTTTTTATGGCTGAGTAATATTCCATTTATATATATATATAAAACATCATCTTTATCCATTCATCTTTCAATGGACATTTAGGTTGCTTCCAAGTCTTGGCGACTGTAAATAGTGCTGCTATGAACATTGTGGTTCATGTATCTTTTCAAATTAGAGTTTTAATCTTTTACGGATATATGTCCAGGAGTGGGATTGCAGTATAATATGGTAACTCTATTTTTATTTTTTTAAGGAACCTCCATAATGTTCTCCATAGTGGCTGTACCAATTTACATTGCCACCAAGAGTGTAGGAGGGCTCCCTTTTCTAGTTATTCTTATGAGAGATAAAATTATCAATTTTCCCCAATCTATAGAAGATTAATTGAAAAAGGCAGATGTGATTATCATAGAAAGAGTGTTGGCAATGGAAAAGACAGAATACCAACGAAAAATGGAAACTAAAAAGGCAAAGCACCCCAATGCTATCTCCCATGGGGGAAGATGAGAGAGCCCAAGCATACCAGACCAGTGATGTGCTATAAATTCTTGGTAATCCTGCCCAACTTCACCCCTGTCCTCACCTTCTCTCAGCTTAGTGGTGTCACAGAAATACAGAGAAACAAACATGCCTCAATATGGTCAGTGTTTGGCCCATTTTCCTTCCTACCATCTTAGCAAAAATAAACAACACCCCCATCACCCCCAAACCCACCCGTTTTCAGCTTTGGATTGTGTAATTTGAAGTGTTTCCACATACAGCTGTGCAAGTGACTAAGCTTGAAGGTAGTTACCCAAAGTTTTCCAAAGAAACCTCATTGGGACTTCATGTACTATCAAATAGTTTAACTTGCCCAAGCACAGGACTGTTAGCGTTGCCCTGATCAAGCTTCAGGATATACACCATTAGCAAATTTAAACTGTGGGGAGGTTTTCTAATGAGCTGCAAAATAAAAAGGAGGTCGAAATTTGATAGACACATAGAAGGTGGCCACTTCTCTACCCACCTTGTAAAAGAAAAAACACTATTGATGCCGTTCAAATGTACACCTGTCCAGTTTTTGCTCTTTATGCCATTCTGCCATGATTTGTCCAGCGCATGTCAAAGCAGACTTTGGAAAGACATTAAAAGCAGAAATGAAAACTGGTGCAAGCAAACATAACCTCAATAAAGCTGTTTTTACAAAAAATTTCCAAGACAAAATACTTGGACCAGATATGAGAGATCAAAGTACTGTCCGTAGAATTGTTTCCATAAAAGATCACAAGTGGTCACAGCTCAAACTGATTTACTTTTAAACTTATACCACTCCCATTAAGCTGATTCAGTGTGACTCATTTCAAAGAAAATTAAAACAAACTAGCTTGACAAACTGATGATTCTCCCCAACGGTGAATTGAAAGAAAAGATTGTACACAACTCCCACGTCTTTCATTCCACATTCCATATCCATCCACTGGAGATATTAAATCTGTGATCCTGAGAGAGTAGAGGTATAAGTTCTGCCCACAGAAACCCAGTGTGGGAAAGAGAACAATAAGAATTGTTAGGGAGTGAGGGAATAGTACATTTCCTTACACGATTTCATTCAAGGCTCAGAGTTTAAACGAATACCACATTGAGGGTAGCAACCAGAGTGAGGGTGTCTAGAACTGGATTGAAACAAAGTGGCTCTGCACCCCACTAGGGAATCAGAGATCAAGGATCTTTTTCTGACAATTCTTACCCACCAGAAAAATCTGATACACTGCACTTCAAATATTCTCCCAGTAAGTCTCATTACTGTGGTAAAGGGCAAGCAAAGTTTTCTAGGGTAGTCTTTCTCAACTTTATTATTTTTTTTCTCAGCTTTAAACTAAAGGAGATAATTTATGTTTGTTTCACAGCACTGTTCTGATAAACAATAAGAAAAGGCAAATGGAATCTATGGAACTGACATCATAAGGAGATTAATTTATAATCTGCCACAGAATATGGAAAGGCATCAATATACCTTGTCTACCTGGGCTTCTGAAACTCATCCTTAAATTCAGTGTTTCTAGGAACAAGGGTTGGAATTTTTTTTTTTTTTTTGCGGTACGCGGGCTTCTCACTGTTGTGGCCTCTCCCGTTGCGGAGCACAGGCTCTGGACGCACAGGCTCAGCGGCCATGGCTCACGGTCCCAGCCGCTCCGCGGCATGTGGGATCTTCCTGGACCGGGGCACGAACCCGTGTCCCCTGCATCGGCAGGCGGACTCTCAACCACTGCGCCACCAGGGAAGCCCAAGGGTTTGAATTTTAATTTGAGAAATTAAAGAAAATATCTTGGGATGTCCATTCAAAATCGTGATAGCTTAACGTGCTAAAACAGGTAGCTTACTGCAACTCTTTGACAGCTTCCCATAGTGTTCCATATTAATCAAGCGTTCATGATTCAAATAATTTAAATGCATCAAAAAGAGCTGGCTGCTCAGAGAACTTTGCAATGAGTTCTTAGGCAATATGAAGAATGATAGCTAATTTTGCCAAATTCATATCTTGTACAGTTTCCTAAAAGCAGGGCCCAGGGGTAATTTTTACTTTTAAATGATGCTCCTTGTCATTTAGAATCATCAGCCCCATCAATCTCCTAGTACCTGAAGGTGAGGGATGCAGGGCTTCATCAGGCTGCCTGTCTGTGGTTTCTCTTCTGCTATTCATAAGTACTGGACCCTTTGCCCTTCATTAGCTTGGATGGGAGACTAATCAGAAGTGGTAGATGGAGAGACAGTTTACCCAACAGAGCAGAGGTAATTTAACCACCAGGATTCCGTGGGCTTCATTTGATACTAAATTCTGAGTCCTCTCTTTGTGCCGACACACTGCTGAGCACCAGGATAAAAATGAATAAAGCATGCTCCTTACCCTTGAGGAGCTCACAGGCTGGGGTGGGGGCAGAGGTATAAAAATACAGTTAATGGCGTGCTCTGAAAGGGATATAGAAAAGTTGTCAGGGTACCTACTACAGGGTCAGAAAAGGCTCTCTGGAGAATGTGTTACCGACCTGAATCTTAAAGGATTGGTGGAAGAGTCTAGCAAATGGATGTCGAGAAGCAGATAGGCTTCCAGGCAGAGAGTCAGGAAAGTAAGAAACTGCATGACATGTGTAGGGAATTATAAAATTGCTGGAATTGCTGGAACCTCACATTTGATAAAGATTGGCAAGGTGCAAATCATAGTGGGACCTCAGCGTTTTCCCCAAAGGAAAATTGGGGCTTCCCTCAAGGTGATATCCGATTTTCCTGGTTATGACCAAAGGTCAGATTGAGGAAAATGCCTTGGCTGCTCTCTCTCCATCCTCTCTCCTGCTAGAACTCCAGCTCATCTAGTTATGGACAGAAGGATGGATGAAGAGAACGCTTGATACCTCCATGTACACGCAAAAAGGAGATGTGTTAGAAAGTCAAGGATTAAAAAGGAAGGGGAGAAGGGAGGGAGGAAGAAAACAATATTTATATCTGTGATTTCTTTGGGAATATTTATTAATTTTTCTAAAACTTTTAAAGGATAATGAAAATATATATCTCAGCCCAACTTACGCATTCAAGGTACAGTTGCATAAACCCACACAGAGTACTGTTTTGTGCATTTACTGTACTTCACATGCACTTTGTCCTGATCCTAACAGGACACAGCAATCAGATGGAACATAATTAAGCCTCCTTTCCAGAAAGCGGGAAAAGCCCTTTGTTCTAAGAAGAGGAGAAATTTAAATTTTATCCCCCTCTTTTTGGTGATAAGACCAGGGCTAATGAAATCTTGCCTTTACATTTTGTTTTCTCTAGTGGAAGAATGCAGTCTCCCAGAAGAGAAGGAATACAGCAGAGAGGTCAAGAGCCAGACTCTGGTGCTCATAGACCTGAGGTCCAGTCCAGTTCTGCTACATGGTAATTGGGGATCTTGCACAAACTACCTAACCTCTCAGAGCCCTGGACACATACGTCCTAGAGTTGATGGGGGATTAAATGAGGTTGTGTATAAACTTTAGAGCTTTCATCCTTGAGGCACACAAAAAAGGTAAATATGAAGATCATTTTCTAAGGAATTAAAATCATAAAAGGTAGCTCACCTTTTGGAAAAGACATCTGGTGACTTCAGCACAGCGAAAGAAGGGATTTGCTTCTCATCTTGTATTTTCAGTTGTATAGGCTGCTTTACTCCCCAGAAAATGTCCAGCATTCCTTCAACAATTAGTTTACCATCGTCAGTCTAGGGGAGAAACCAATCATCACAAACACTGTTTTTGTATTATTTATAGAAGGCAAATGTTTTAACTGAAGATGTAGAAATGAAGTCTGTAAGACACCTTAATAGATAAAAAATAAATTCCCAGGTGGGACTGTTTGGTTTTTAAATTTATCTACAAAACATTTCTACTTTTGAAACATTCTTTTATGTTTGAAAACAGCTATAACCAGCAAAGTCATAATGGTAATGACGTGCCCACCAGAGGGCACAGTATGCTAAAATATTTTCTGAACTCTGCTTCTTCAATTAAGTGGAATTTTAATTCTATAATTCTATTTAGCGTAAAATTAAAGCAGAATTAAAAACTGTGCTAAAGTAGAATTCAGAAGAACAGCTATTGTTCAGTTTAGTGGCTATTTTCTCATTTCTGAACAGGAAAAATTTAGCTCACAAACTTATGCAGAACAAGTGAAATAATGTACGTAAAAACACAGTGTAAAATACACAACAAATTATATTTTTGAAAAAAATCAATAGCACTTGAGTAATCTCTTTTAAGTTGGAACTATTATAACAAAAGAAGGGAATTCTATGCAAAGAAAAATTAGTAAACAGGATTGAACCCTTACTTATCCTGTGGATGTAGATATTAATACCAAAGCACATTCCCATAGAATGTATTTTCTAATCTATTTCTCTCTTATATATGTAAAAGTCTGTTATTAAAGTAGTGTTGCTATTATAGTAAATTTGGGAAATATAGAAAGAATATTCCAACTATCCAATAACTACTCTAACATGCAATAACTACTTGTTATTATGAAAAATCAATAATTAGAAAACATAATAAATATAAACGTAAATGACTCAATTCTTATTTGAGAGTGTAATGAAAACTCCAGACTCTGGAATCAGACAGACCTGTGTTTGAACTCTGGCTCTGCCATTTTCTAGCTGTGTTCTCTTGGGCAAGATGTCAAACACCTATAAACCTGGGCTGCTTCTTCTGAAGAACGAAATCATAACAATCCTTGATTCATAGGACCTCGTATTTACAGTGCTCAATAAATGATATTGCTTATTATTTCTTTGGCTGACAAACCTACTTTGGAGTCACTCCTGAAACAAAGTTTTGCTCTTTCTCCTCCTTTTGAGTTCATATTTCAGATCACTGTGAGGTCAGGTACCAATCAGTTGTCCTTGACAGCCAAACATAATTTGCTCTCTGAAAGGGCAGTACGTGATGCAGAGCCTACATTTTAGTTATTGATGTATAACACCTTTTCGTGGCTTAATTATACTACAATGAATCCCTTAAATCAAAAACTCATAGGGGGGCTTCCCTGGTGGGGCAGTGGTTGAGAGTCCGCCTACCAATGCAGGGGACACGGGTTCGTGCCCCGGTCCGGGAAGATCCCACATGCCGCGGAGCGGCTGGGCCCGTGAGCCATGGCCGCTGAGCCTGCGCATCCGGAGCCTGTGCTCCGCAATGGGAGAGGCCACAACAGTGAGAGGCCCTGCATACCGCAAAAAACAAAACAAAACAAAACAAAAATCTCATAGAATAACTGCTCTTCTGAGGTTATCTAACTTTTGCTTTCAAGAAGAAATACTCCAACTATTATCAGAAAATGAGGTTTACTCATGTAAGGAATATCAGAATATTTTTTAATTTCAGAAACCATCTCTAGGACTTCCCTGGTGGCGCAGAGGTTGAGAATCCGCCTGCCAATGCAGGGGACACGGGTTCAAGCCCTGGTCCGGGAGGACTCCACATGCCATGGAGCAACGAGGCCTGTGTGCCGCAATTACTGAGCCTGTGCTCTAGAGCCCGTAAGCCACAACTACTGAGCCTGCGCACCACAACTACTGAAGCCTGTGTACCTAGAGCCCGTGCTCCACAAGAGAAGCCACTACAGTGAGAAGCCTGCACACCGCAACAAAGAGTAGCCCCCGTTCGCCGCAACTAGAGAAAGCCCGTGTGCAGCAACGAAGACCCAGTGCAGCCATAAATAAATAAACTAATTTAATTTAAAAAAAGAAATCATCCCTTTTGAAATTAACTAAATAAATTATCCCTGAAGCCTCGTTTATACTTATCTAATCTCATTGTCTCAATCTTCAGGCCTTTTCTCTTCTGGATCTACACCAATACCCTTGGTGATCTCAATGATCCTTATGTGCCATCTCTAAACTAATAGCTCCCAACTTTAGATATACAGCCCAAACCTTCCCCTAAACTTCAGTTGTCAAACTTGACATCAAATTTAATACATTCCTAATTAACTTTTGATCTTTCTTCCTGTAAATATTTTCCTTTCCCAGTCTTCCCCATCTTGGTAAATAGAACCCCCATCTTTCCAGTTGTTCAGGTCAACATTTTTAAAGTCACCATTAATCTTTCTTTCATACTTAACCTCTCAAAATCCGATACGTTAGCAAATCCCATTAGCTTTACCTTAAAAATATATCCCCAATGTGGCTATACTCACCATGGGTACTACCACAATTCTAGTTTATGCCTCTGTCATTGTTTGCCTGATTATCGCAATAGTTTCTTTGGGGTCTACCTCATTCTTCTCTTGCCCCTCTATGTATTCCTAGTAGCTAGAGAGATCGTTTTATTTTTTACTTTTTTAACTTTTTATTTTATATTAGAGTATAGTTGATTAACAATGTTGTGTTAGTTTCAGGTGTACAGCAAAGTGATTCCGCTATACATATATATGTATCTATTCTTTTTCAAATTCTTTTCCCATTTAGATTGTTACATAATATTGAGCAGGTTCCCTGTGCTGTACAGTAGGTCCTTGTTGGTTATCCACTTTAAATACAGCAGTGTGTACATGTCAATCCCAAACTCCCTAACTATCCCTCCCCCACCTTGCCCCCGGTAACCATAAGTTCGTTAGAGAGATCCTTTTAAAATGAATCTTTAGATAATATCACAACTCCTCAGTGGCTTTCCATCTCATTCCAAGTACAAGCTGAAGTCTTCACAATGATCTATAGGACCCTACATGCTCTGGTGCCCTCCCCTTCTCAGTTCTCTCTATAGCTTCCTTGTTCTCTACTATCCCATTCCCACAAGGTTCCTGCTGCACTGGCTTCCCCACCGTACCTCAGTTACACCAGCCAGGCTCAGGACCTTTATTGGGCTGCTGGATATGTCTGTGCCTGGAATGTGTGTCCCACAGACTTCTACAAGGTTTGCTCCCTGACATCTTTCAGTCTTTGGTCAAATGTTCCTCTTTCCTCATCCACTTAGATTCCTGAGCCCTCTTCCCTGCTTTGTTATTCTCCACAGCCTTTCTTTTTTTGGCTGCATTGGGTCTTCGTTGCGGCGAGCAGGGGCTACTCTTTGTTGCGGTGTGCGGGCTTCTCGTTGCGGTGGCTTCTCTTGTCGCAGAGCACGGGCTCTAGGTGTGCAGGCTTCAGTAGCTGCAGCACGTAGCTGCAGTAGGCAACTCAGTAGTTGTGTCGCACAGGCTTAGTTGCTCCGCAGCATGTGGGATCTCCCCAGACCAGGGCTCGAGCCCGTGTCCCCTGCATTGACAGGCGGATTCTTAACCACTGTGTCACAAGCGAAGTCCCTCTCCAGCCTTTATTGCCATTGGATACACAGTTTACTTTTTTGTTTCTTTTCTGACTACTAAAATGTAAGCAAGCATGAAGGCAGGACATTGTCTAGTTTCTTCATTGCTATGTCTCTAGCTTTTAGAACAATGTCTGCTGTGTTGTATACAATAAATATTCATTAGGTTAATTAATCAGAGATTTAGAAAGCTACATGCTATTCTCCATGGACTGCCCCTTTTAACAGTGCCCATCATTGTAACTAAGTCAGAGACTTGCAAAATTCCGGATTCTAACTTTATTGATGGTGAGTAAAGATGGAAAGATTAAGCAATCTGATATTCTCACTGTATACTTTACTTCATACAGTTTTAAAAAATTATGTAAGACAGGACACTTTATTCTAAGAAATCAAATGACTTTTGCAGATTGAGCACTGATTCACAGAATAGGAAATGACACGCCTCAACTTATATGCTTGTCACATCAAAATTCAAACATTTTCCTAAAGGAAATGAACTTCTTAACATCATGAATTCTATGGAAACAACCGAATTAAAATATGAAATCATTTTCTTAAAGTTTTGATCTTTTCTTAAATTTTATATTTTTACAGTTACCTATATGAGAGATCTAAGATACAGGATAATATTGAAATAATTTAAAATTAGGCCATTTAAAAAATTTAGGCCCATTTCTTTATAAAGGGATTAGTTATTTCCTACTTCTCTAGGAAATTACATTTGGGAAGGTAACTGAAATGTCCAATCAAACTAAATCATTTAAGCTCACTAGTAAGGGCCAGAGAGGTTTATAAATTTCCTTCTGTTCCAATTGCAGATTTAAGCCAATGGTGGCCTAAAGTCTATGTTGTACACATTTGAAGATCTGAAACGTAGGTAGAAAGTTCTAATGTTCCCTAGGACCAGGAAGATATTGTAAAGATGTGAAGTGAGTCTCATTAGAATACAAGACTGAGTAGGAAGACCTGTGGAGGATGAGGCATTAAAAAACCAATCTAAGGCCACTTTGTACAGTAGCCTGCCAGCTGCAACCTTAAAAATGCTTGCTGAATTGTTACTAGGATAGATTTTTAATGGAATTGCTGTTCAAAAGATGTTCATACTCTGTTTTTAAAGTAGAAAGCAAATATGTCATTAAAGTTGTTTTAAACGTTTTCCCATTCTAAAAAAATACTTGGAAAGTCACATGTTTCAGGACTAGGATTTTGCAATATAGTCTAAAGCTGAAAAATCCTGATCAAGTTAAAGATTCACCTGCTTCTCCCAGACGTTTTGCCTTATGGACTCCAACTTATCCTGACTTCTCTGTACTTTTATGGATTTTTTTCTCCTGTGAATTAAACTGTACTGCATTTCTTTGACGGGCTTACCTGTCCATATAAAATATGCAGATTTTTCTGGTTCCTATAAAAGATGTTATAGGTCTTCAATAAAGAATTAAGTTGTTCCCTAAAAAAACAATATTACATTCAGTTACAATCAGTCTTAGGCTTTTTAATGGTAGAAGGCAATAATGGTGCCTTCAGTTCAAAAAGATATGAGATAGGAAAAAACGATTCAATGGAATCTTTACTATTCTGTCATTTTAATATAGGTCATTGAAAACTGAAGCCTTCTTAGGACATCAACAAATGTTGAAGGTGTTAATTCATAAATAAATCAACAAAGTAAAACAAATAAAATCTGGTCTTAGGTGGTTACTTTCCCTTAGTGAAGATGTGTGTTAATAATTTCAAAGTTGAATTTGATTTTTAAAAAGTCCTTCAAAATTTTCCATAATGAAGAAATGACTGGCTGCAAAGAGCTGTTTGAATTGAATTTATAATCTAAAGCAGTGGTTCTCAACCCATTTAAGTCACAGTATCTTTTGAAACCCTGATGAAAGCTTTGCCTTCCCTGCGGGGGGTGGAGTGGGTTAATCCCATATATAGACACATAGTTTTGCATATACAATGTGTAATAGCTAATTTATGTGCTATTTTGAAAGACTTTCCTGATAAACAAGGAAGGAGTTATTTTCCATATGGTGTAAGTATAGGTTCTTTTTATCTGACAGTAACAAACTGACATTTAAAAATATTCTTTGTTTAAAATTCTGGAGTAAAAGGGAATTCCCTGGCTGTCCAGTGGTTAGGACTCCAGGCTTTCATGGCCAAGGGCCCAGGTTTGATCGCTGTTCAGGGAACTAAGACCCACAAGCTGTGTAGTGCAGCCAAAAAAAAAAAAAAAAAAATTCTGGAGTATATACATCAAAATATTTCTACTGGGTGGTAGGATTTGAGATGATTTAAAATTTTTTTCTACTGTCCTCTCTGTTGTCAAGTTCTTCCCGGGGTTGTTGTTTTATAAAATTTTGAGTTAGTTTTATTTTGACAGTTAACAATTAAAATATTTTCATAAGAGAATAAATAAATAACCAAAGAATGGAAAATGACTGCAGACAAAGTGGTGAGGAGAGTGTTCTGTAGCAGGAGACAGCTGTAAAACAGATTTCGTTTCACATTCCTCTTTTGTTTTACAACATTTAATCAACCTAATTTAAGCACCTAGTATGTGCCTGACTTTATGCTTTCCACTGGAGATACAGCAACAGTTCAGGAATAGTTGTTGCTCCTAGGCATCTCACCCTCTGTGGCAGGTGGGGTCTGGCAATGGGAATGCTGGTTCCTGCCACACCTCCATCCTCCCCTTGTGCTACCACAGCTCAAGATGCTGCTGTCACTCACCCTGCTGGTCCAAGCTATCTTCTCTCACCTGCATTATGGCAACAGTCTCATAAAAGCCTCCCTGTATTTGTTGTCTATTCTCAACAGCAGGAGTTATTTTAAAACAAACCTGATCACCTCTCTCCTTTGCTCAAAGCTCTTCAATACCTTCTCATCATTAGAATAAAAGCCAATATCCTTCCAATGACTTCAAAGGCCAGTTGTGATCTGATCCCTTTTACACCTTCCATCTCATTTCTACTTCTCTTTCCTTCACTCACTGAACTCTAGCCGCTGGCCTCCTTGATGTTCCTTGAGTACTCCAGGCACATTCTCACCCCAGGGCCTTTATACATGTTGTTCCCTCTGCCCAGAATGACCTCTCCCATGCCATCACACTGTTAGTGCATTCATTTTTTTTAGGTATTTACTCCAAAGTCACCTGCTCAAGGAGTCCTTCTTGACAACCAAATCTGAAAGTTTGCCTTCTCCCAACATTCGTATCCTGCTTTCCTCCTTACCTCTGCCCCTTGGTCACCATCTAACCTTGAATATATTTTATTTATTTATCTTATACTCTGTCTCCTTCACTAGACTGTAGCTCCAAGAGACTAGGCTTGCTTCCATGTTTCGTTCACACTATGTTTCATGTGCCTGGAAGAGAGCATGGCACATAGTAAGAACTGAACAAACACTGGTTGAATGAAATGATCAGAAGAAGTCTTATTCCTAAAATAAAACCAAACATATCAACAGGTAGAAAGCTTTTTTATATAAGTTGCTTTATGGGGGAGGCATCTCATGATATTAAACTTCCAGATATAGTAATTGCTAAAATCCCTTTGATCTTCAATACCTGTCTCCCTCCCATAAGAATACTTGGCTCCGTGAGGGCAGGAATTTTGGTCTATTTTATTCATTGCTGTCTTCCCAGTGCTTAGAGCAGAGCTTTGCTCATAGTGGGTGCTTATTCAATAAGCATTTAATGAATAATGAATGACAGAGTTCATGTATATTGATTTTTATGTTTGGGATCAGGTAAGCATACTTTCCACTTGACTTTTCTCACTTGTAATTTTTAATGCGCACATTTCCAAGGATCAGTACACTCCACACAAACACCACGTAAAAAAATTCTACAGAATTCCTCCATGTTATTTTTCTGTTTCCCAGCTGGCTTACTTTAGAATTTTAGTGTTGATGAATATTTCTGTTCTAAACATCACTGGGCACACAAGGGATTTTGTTTCATTGGAGTCATTGCTGTGGAATAGTTCCTTAAAATTAACATACTGGTAAAGAGCATGAACACTTTTATAGCTCTCATTACTGGGCACCAGGGCAGCATACAGACATTTCCGGTTCACTTGGGATGCAACTCCTGATATGCTGAGCTGTGAGAGTTGTTATTAAAGTAAATGAATCTTTACATAACCTTATTCCCTCAGCTTCCGTTTCTGATAAAACTGCATGTTAAGGTATGGTACAAGTATCCTTCAAAGTATTTACCTCAGTACCATGTTTGATTAGAAAGATTATTCTCTGGGAACAAGCTACTTGGAAAATGTTTCTGTATCTGAAAAAACCTGACTAAATCTTTCTGCACAGAAATAAGTCTCCAAATGACCCAGGGAGTCAGCGAACTGTGGTCCCAGGCCACCTGCTTTTGCAAATAAAGTTTTATTGGAATACAGCCACACTACTTTGTTTGTCTATTGTCTATAGCTGCTTTATTTCTATAACTGCAGAGGTGAGTAGCTGTGATACAAACCAAGTGGCCTACAAAGCCTAAAATATTTATTATCTGACTCTTTACAGAGGTAGCTGGCCAACCTATAAACCATGTGTAACACAGGGTAACTAAATACCACAGAAATCTTCCATATTTTTCTCACCATAGGCAGGATCTTTCTGACTATCAGTGAAACTCTGAAGGATTTTGGCATGTGGAAGAAGAAAACAGTTCAGTAAAATAGTGTTGGGATAAAATTATGTAAGTTAATGGTGCAATAAAGTGAGGAACTAGAAAAGAAAAATCCGGAAGTTAGGCGAACAACGACAGTAATGGTTATGCATTCCAAATATTAAAACTTCATCACATTTTAATCGTATGCACTTCACCGGAGGAAATTTTGGAGATGATTAGTCTATGCACCTGTTGAAGCAATGGGTTAATACAACACGAGGATAAAGTGTAGCCTGCAACATTCTAACTCGACTTGTTGGCATTAAGGGCACAAAGAGCTGAAGAAGTTGTTGTCAAGTTGATTATCTCTTATCTGCTGACTGATTCAAATTTTGTCCTCTAACAGAACACCTGTCCTAATGGTTTGCTGTGTGATCACAATAAAGAGGCCTCAGCCATACACTGAGATGGGTGAGAGCTTGAGGGAATAGATGCTGCCTATTGTGCGCTCTGGAGGGGAAGCATTAAGCAAGAGGGGTGTGAGAAGCTTACCAGGCAAAGAAAATATTAACAAGGACATTCTAGATATTTCTGTAGTTTTTGTGGCAAAAGCTCAAAGAGTTGGGACTCTAAGAGTAGAACATGTAAAATGGGGAATGGTGAGTGATGAAGAAGCAGGCAGGAACCTTGTGAACCATTTTAAGAAGCTTAAAATTCACCCTGCAGGCAATGGGCACTTACTGGAGGTTGCAGGCAAGTGTAAGGTATGATGCTTCTAAGGGCCACTAGGGAGCTTATGGAAGACAGATTTCAGGACAAAACAACACGGAGGCAGGAAGATGAGTGGAACAATTGCAATGGTATTGGGGTAGAGAGCCAAGGCTATGTTCTGCGGAAAGGTGATCAAATGTCCCTCATGTACAGAAGAATCTAAAGTCTAGAAGAGACCTAAAATGAGTATAGGGATTATTTGGTTTAGGAGATCCAAAGGCCACCACTAAAGTGTTATCTAGGCAGCCCCTAGTCAGGAAAGGGAAGACTGATTTAATATACATGGTGACTTGTCAGTGCTAATTATAATGTATTTTTTAGAATTTAACTTAAATGTTACCTATGGACCTCCCTATCTCATAAAAAAGGAAAAAAATCATCTGTGTACTTTTCCCTCTCAGCTCCAAAGAGTCCCCCGCCAGCCTAGACCAGACAACTGTTCAGCTGCCCTAACAAAGCTATAAAGTGGTTGATAAGAAATGAATTCCATATCCAGTCTTCTCAGTTTACAAATTTTTCTAGAAGCCACAGGGACACCCAAGAAGTCGGCCTGGTACAAACAGCCTGTATATCAATACTTTACGTGTGATACATAAATTGATTTTTTAAGAAGAGCTTGGTTTTCTCGAACATGAATATCATAATATATCGCAAGGATTTTTAAAAAACATTATCACAAAATATATAACATGAATAGTGTTTTTATAAAACTAAGGAATAGCAAACTTCCGTGTAAACTGGACTTCTAACTAAACGAACACATAGAATCTTAAGCTTCGCCGGGACAGAAGCTGGCACTGTGCACTGACAGTACAGAGAGGGGACCCTGATAGATGCAGATGGACACCCAGAATTAGTCATTACAGCTCCTGGGTGAGTGCTAACCAGGGAAAGACTTAACATGGGGGGGCGACAGGTGTAGGGGAATGATGCCAGGGTTCCTGCTCCTTTAAAGGTTCCCTGTTCCTGTAAGGCTCCCAGCTCAGTTTTAATGAGTAAAAGTGGATCCAGAGTTGACTGTAAAATGCTTAGATGTACTTTGCACTTGTGGTCTGAATTGCATCTGC